TACTTTGATATGCTATGACTTTGATACTTTAATAATACTTTGGTATACCATGACTTTGATACTTTAATAATACTTTGATATACTATGACTTTGATACTTTAATAATACTTTGATATACTATGACTTTGATACTTTAATAATACTTTGGTATACCATGACTTTGATACTTTAATAATACTTTGATATACTATGACTTTGATACTTTAATAATACTTTGGTATACCATGACTTTGATACTTTAATAATACTTTGATTTACTATGACTTTGATACTTTAATAATACTTTGATATACTATGACTTTGATATTTTACTAAAACTTTTATATACTATGACTTTGATACTTTACTAATACTTTGATATACCATGACTTTGATACTTTAATAATACTTTGGTATACCATGACTTTGATACTTTAATAATACTTTGATATACTATGACTTTGATACTTTACTAATACTTTGATATACTATGACTTTGATACTTTAATAATACTTTGATATACTATGACTTTGATACTTTAATAATACTTTGGTATACCATGACTTTGATACTTTAATAATACTTTGATATACTATGACTTTGATACTTTAATAATACTTTGATATACTATGACTTTGATACTTTACTAATACTTTGATATACTATGACTTTGATACTTTAATAATACTTTGATATACCATGACTTTGATACTTTAATAATACTTTGGTATACTATGACTTTGATACTTTACTAATACTTTGATATACTATGACTTTGATACTTTACTAATACTTTGATATACTATGACTTTGATACTTTAATAATACTTTGATATACTATGACTTTGATACTTTAATAATACTTTGATATACTATGACTTTGTTACTTTAATAATACTTTGGTATACCATGACTTTGATACTTTAATAATACTTTGATATACTATGACTTTGATACTTTACTAATAGTTTGATATACTATGACTTTGATACTTTAATAATACTTTGATATACTATGACTTTGATACTTTAATAATACTTTGATATACTATGACTTTGATACTTTACTAATACTTTGATATACTATGACTTTGATACTTTACTAATACTTTGATATACTATGACTTTGATACTTTAATAATACTTTGATATACTATGACTTTGATACTTTAATAATACTTTGGTATACCATGACTTTGATACTTTAATAATACTTTGATATACTATGACTTTGATACTTTACTAATACTTTGATATACTATGACTTTGATACTTTAATAATACTTTGATATACTATGACTTTGATACTTTAATAATACTTTGGTATACTATGACTTTGATACTTTACTAATACTTTGATATACTATGACTTTGATACTTTAATAATACTTTGATATACTATGACTTTGATACTTTAATAATACTTTGGTATACCATGACTTTGATACTTTAATAATACTTTGATATACTATGACTTTGATACTTTACTAATACTTTGATATACTATGACTTTGATACTTTACTAATACTTTGATATACTATGACTTTGATACTTTAATAATACTTTGGTATACTATGACTTTGATACTTTAATAATACTTTGATATACTATGACTTTGATACTTTAATAATACTTTGGTATACCATGACTTTGATACTTTACTAAAACTTTTATATACTATGACTTTGATACTTTACTAATACTTTGATATACTATGACTTTGATACTTTAATAATACTTTGGTATACCATGACTTTGATACTTAAATAATACTTTGATATACTATGACTTTGATACTTTACTAATACTTTGATATACTATGACTTTGATACTTTACTAATACTTTGATATACTATGACTTTGATACTTTAATAATACTTTGATATACTATGACTTTGATACTTTAATAATACTTTGATATACTATGACTTTGATACTTTACTAATACTTTGATATACTATGACTTTGATACTTTACTAATACTTTGATATACTATGACTTTGATACTTTAATAATACTTTGGTATACCATGACTTTGATACTTTACTAATAGTTTGATACACTATGACTTTGATACTTTAATAATACTTTGATATACTATGACTTTGATACTTTACTAATACTTTGATATACTATGACTTTGATACTTTACTAATACTTTGATATACTATGACTTTGATACTTTAATAATACTTTGATATACTATGACTTTGATACTTTAATAATACTTTGGTATACCATGACTTTGATACTTTAATAATACTTTGATATACTATGACTTTGATACTTTACTAATACTTTGATATACTATGACTTTGATACTTTAATAATACTTTGATATACTATGACTTTGATACTTTAATAATACTTTGGTATACTATGACTTTGATACTTTACTAATACTTTGATATACTATGACTTTGATACTTTAATAATACTTTGATATACTATGACTTTGATACTTTACTAATACTTTGATATACTATGACTTTGATACTTTAATAATACTTTGATATACTATGACTTTGATACTTTAATAATACTTTGGTATACCATGACTTTGATACTTTAATAATACTTTGATATACTATGACTTTGATACTTTAATAATACTTTGATATACTATGACTTTGATACTTTAATAATACTTTGATATACCATGACTTTGATACTTTAATAATACTTTGATATACTATGACTTTGATACTTTACTAATACTTTGATATACTATGACTTTGATACTTTAATAATACTTTGATATACTATGACTTTGATACTTTACTAATACTTTGATATACTATGACTTTGATACTTTAATAATACTTTGATATACTATGACTTTGATACTTTAATAATACTTTGATATACTATGACTTTGATACTTTACTAATACTTTGATATACTATGACTTTGATACTTTACTAATACTTTGATATACTATGACTTTGATACTTTAATAATACTTTGGTATACCATGACTTTGATACTTTAATAATACTTTGATATACTATGACTTTGATACTTTACTAATACTTTGATATACTATGACTTTGATACTTTAATAATACTTTGGTATACCATGACTTTGATACTTTAATAATACTTTGATATACTATGACTTTGATACTTTACTAATACTTTGATATACTATGACTTTGATACTTTAATAATACTTTGGTATACCATGACTTTGATATCTTGATACTTTAATTATTATGAATCTTTTTGGAATATAAGCAGTAGTACCTCTCAAATTTCATATGAATGATGAAAGAGTTGGGAAATAATTTTTGAATAAACTAAGAATATTGTTTTCCACAATCGGAAAATTGAATTGAATAATGAATTTAACTTTCATAGTGAGATTATACTTAGATTGACTTCAAGTAAATTTTGACACTGGTAACTTGCACTCATTATAGGAAAACATTTGATACTTTGAATTACTGTGAGAAAAAACAATAGAACCTTGATTTAATATAGTTTATAGTACTATATTATATACTATAAAGTACTTATTTAGAATGTGGGAACATTTTAGGAATTGTGAAAAATTACATTTACTTAGTACTATTGTAAACGTACAAACTCAATGTCATTCAATGAAGCTAGAAGGAGTGCAAAAAGTCATGTTTGGTATAACCTAAAAATGCAAAAGTAGAAAATAACACAGTGATCATTCTCACTTTGCTACAATTTCTTCAGATAGCTATCAGAAGTACTTGTATGGTTTCTTTCTTCAGACTCTCTATCTCTCTCTGGTTTGCATGCACTTTACCTCATCTGAAGACAAATGTGTCATATTTTTTTTATTAAAAATTCACCATGAACACCTAACAGATTCCTTCGACGTCATCAAAAAATTCTCAAGATACATATATAATGATCAATACAAGCCTCCGTTCTCCTAATAGCGATAAAAGTATAATTATTATGTAAGAATCCGTTGATGCTATGGCTGTTGTTTATCATTTCTACAGAAAGTCAAATTTTTTGTTAAGATTTAAGGATGGAGTCTTGTCAGCATTTCAAATTACTAAGTAGGAGATCCAAGTACAATCTGTTTCTGGGTACTACAGGTTCAGCTATAGCACGTGTTATAGGACCATGCTTATCTTTACATATACTTTACAATTAAATCACTTGATATCAAAGATGACGATGACTATACATGTAGTTTTATTCTAATTAGCGGTATGATGAAATATCACTTTTTCTTCGCTATTGAGAAATGAACAGAAAGCAAGTACTTATCTTGTTTAATTTCTTTATTCATTAATAATTTGATTTCAAATCAATTTTAAGTTAGAAATAAAAGGTTAACAAAACTAGCCATATACTGATAAAACCTTTATTTCAATACGTCTAGATCTCTCTTAAAACTGCTGTCGGTCATTTTAGATGCCACACTTTTTCATCTTATTCATGATGGAAAACTACATAATTTGCTATTACTTTCTTAAAGGGCCGATTACGCCCTACTTTTAAAATTCATTTCAAAATGTTCCTTCGGGCACTTGGCTTGTAATTGTTAGAAAAATGCTGTATTTAGTAATTATACGTAGTACGAAAATTTTATCGTTAACTTCGCAAAAATTGAAACTAAAGTAATGGGATGAAATTCGGGTATAACATAATATTCTCAGTTTTTTGACATTACCTATTTTCTTGGAAGAAATTATTATAAAGAAATGTGTAACTGAGTTTATTTTCATTGAACGACATCTAGTTTAGAAAATACGGTGGCATTGAAGTGACCGTGACAGAAAATCAAGGCTTAAGATAAATATACTGTGTGAACTTGAAAACTTGGTACTATAACAAACTACACGTGACAAGACCCGTCCTTAGAACTGACTTCCGTTATTTCCAAAAATAAGGAAAAATCTCTCCCTTTTCATATCAAATTCATATTGAAAGCAATAATATAACTTTAAAGAAAATGAACTGATCTCTTGAATTCTGAAAGCATATTGTCAAAATCTCAGTCAAGCATATCTTTTATTAACATTTCAGTGACGTTGATCTGCGTTCCCATGGCAGTTGGTCAAGCTCTGTACAGAGTTTGGTTGTACGGAGAAATCATGTGCAAACTTACCTCATATCTACAAGGTTTGATATTTAAATATTAATTTAAATCTTATGACATTGAATTAAAGTCAAAATTTACCATTCTATTTATAATCATTCCTCTGAGAAAATATATTAACTTAATCACAAACAGTGTTATATTTACTTAGATATCCAATCGCAGTATTTTTAAATGCGCAAATTATTTAAACAATAAAATGCTTTCTTTGGTTGTTAGTACGGGAATTAATGTCGCAGCTGTTGCAGAAAAAATACATAACCCGCTTACGCGGGTTATGTATTTTTTCTGCAACAGCTGCGACGTTAATTCCCGAACTAACAACCAAAGAAAGACATTTTATTGTTTATATTTATATCTGTATGAATAATCATTTAAAGTAGGATTAAAAGATTAATTATTGCATTATTGATATGTACGTCTTAGTACGTTTCATTGATGGAACAGCCACTGATCACGAAATCTGTACAGGTGATATGAATAGTGTTATTCATGAACTGATAAATGGCAATGGTTTTCTTTAGAAATAAAGGAGGAAATATTCAGTGGATGTAAATATGTTTAATACAATACAGGGATATGCCATTTACGTAAATTATACAACATTTATTCCCGTTTCTGATATATTTTTCAGGGGCTACAGTTGCTGCTAGCGTATTCACTATCGCCATTCTAAGTCTGGATCGATTCTTTGCCATCAAGAAACCTATACTATTCCGGAGATTTGGTGATGCTAGATACGCCTTGTACGCCATCATTATAGTCTGGGTTGTCTCCCTTGTGTTAATGGCGCCACTTTTAGTTGTCAAACAAGTAGAGAATTATAGATTTCTTCAAACAGAGCTTCAAATTTGCGTCGAAATATGGCCAGATCAATCGTCTAGGCAAATCTTTGACATGGTGTTGTTTGGTTTAGTTTATTTCGTTCCTGGAGGTGTGATAGGAAGTGCTTATAGCCTTATTGGTATGGAACTTTGGAAGGAGGATGTGGATTTACGGAGAAGAGAGTCTGTGACCAGTCAGTGTATGGGAAAACAAATGATGGCTGGAAGAAAGAAAGTAGCAAAAATGTTAATAGCCCTGGCCATTGTGTTTGCCATCTGTTGGCTACCCTACTATATAGTGAGCCTGTACTTAGATTTTAATTACGACAGTCCCTCAGCCATGCGTTTTATGACTGTACTGCCTTTTGTGATTCTGCTTGGGCATGCTAACTCTGCCCTTAATCCTTTATTGTATTTTTATTCAAGCAAAACATTTCGAACATATCTTCTAAAAATACTCCATTGTTTGCGTTGCTATAAAAAGAATCCTGCATTTCCAGATCATGCTCGTTTTAGATATACAAGTTCTAGGAGATTTAGCTGTCAAAATGGGTCAAACAATGGACACGTAAAGTTAGCATCTTCTTGCAACTCAAATTACCGTAAATCGTCAATAGGCAGTGTAAGATCGAAGTCGTCGAGTAATAGTTTCAGAAATATAGGTCATAATAAGAAATATGATAGCACAGAATTTACCGCTGGAAGATTGCTACTTGAGAGAGCCACACTTATTCAAATGGAAATTATGAAAGCTACAATTGACAATTCGAACTCAACAGCTAAGGGTGATGGCAAGCGATTTGGATCGGGGAGAAATCTGGACATTCCAATGACAATCCAAGAGGAGAGTAGCAATAGGGGCTCACTCCAAAGTTCTCCAAGATATTTTAGGTCATTATTGCAAGAGGAAAGTCCCGTACATTCATAACTACCTCATGATACCACTAATATCAGTTAAATACTACTGAAATACAGAAATTATACAGAGTTTGATAAAGATACTAGTACTAGTATTTGTATCTAATAGGGCAATTATATGGCTCGGCTTGTTGCCGAGAATTTGAAATTTTTTCAATAGATATTGTTTAAAAATAAAGGTACGTGTACAGTGTATGAAAAATGTTTATGACGTGAAAATCATAGAATTTATTGTTTCCATTATATATTAATAAAAGTAAGATAAAAAATCTGCATTAATCTTTTTACTTTTGATGTAAGTTATGTTTCTATTCTCCAAGAAATCATTGTAAATACTAGCTAATAAATATAATAAATTATGGTTAAGTTTTAGTAAGGTTTACATGTAAATTAGGCTGTTTGCGAATTTTATGCATAAACAAATGCATCTGAATTTCAAAATGAAATATCTTCAAGCAATATGAGCTGCAAGTTTGATGTCAGAAATATTTGTTGCAAAATTGTAATGAACTATTTCAATGACAGGAAAAAAGAACGTTTATAAAGTTTTGATGTTCATATTTGCGATGAAAACACTATTTTTAAGCTTTGGTTGAAGCAGAATTACATTATTGTCGTCCTGTACAATATTGATTCCTTATATAATACTATATATTCGATTGTAAAGAAATCTTTCTTCTGAAATTATTTAATACTTTATTTAAGTCAAATTGATCGAAAAGGTTCAAATTACATAGAAATTTATCAAAATAGCACATTTTAACAGCGAAATTAAATTCTAAAAAATGCAGCTCATATTGCTTTCATGGGTTAAAAAACTATTATAAGCCAATTTCACTAACAGAAAGAAACACATGATTTTAATTTCAAATTTTAATTCCGTTATAGAAAGGTGAAATAACATCGACATTTTCAGGGGTCTATGTTTGCTCTGTTCACAATTAGTTTTGTTTATTGGACTTTGAGCGTGATTACTGTTTTTTATCCCCACATTTCATTTTCCCTTACTTACATGAGAAGTTTCATCTTTAAAATTGCTATGGAAACTGTTTTTAATTCAAACGAATTAAAATTGTATGTGGGGCGGAATATTTTCTGTCTAATTTATCCAGAGCATAAAGTTCAAGTTTACAGATATTGCATATATGTAGTATTTCCTGATGTTTCTCATGCTTAGAGGACCACTTCCTACCGCAATAAAATTCATTTCTCCACTGATAACATTGTTTCGCTGTGACATTAAAATTTTGTAAATTCAGACTTCGGATTGTATTGTATTTTATTTAACATCCCTCTCGAGAATTTTTCACTCATATGGAGACGCCACCACTTGCCGGTGGAGAGCTGCAAATTTTGTCCTATACTCGGCACTTACGGCATTGAGCAGTGAGGGATCTTTTTCGTGCCAGCACCTACTGCGACACGGGACCTCAGTTTATACGGTCTCATCCGAAGGACCAGACTTCGGACAAATGCAGTGATTGTCCATTTTATTTTCAGTATTTTTAAACCAGAGAATCGTTTTTGATCCACAATTCAAAACTGATTTTTCTTTAAAAATTATGTCTTTAATTCCATTTAACTTTATTTATATTTTCATCAGTAATTTTCCCTTTTTAGGCAACATATAAAATCTTCATTTTACTGACAAGAAATACATTTTACTTTAAAAATAAAACATTTATTGCATGCAAAATTATTCAACATAATGACAAAAATAAATATTAAATACATGAAAATACATATGTATATTAACTTTTCCCATTAGAATCCTGTACTTATGAAAGTCTATAAAGCTACAAAGGTCCTAGATTCTGTTAACAAGCATCAACGAAAATCTCTTATATAATTAATATGTGATTACATTTACACGTTTGCCTTCATACACAAATATAATGTTTATATGCCACTATGTTAAAATCTTTCTGTCTAATTGCCTCAGAGTTTATTTTGCAAAATAAGCAAAGTCTTAAAACAAAGAGGAAATAATACTCAAATTACAAGATAAATAGTGTCATTTATCATATCAAATTTCTCTTCACTAGACATTAACGAAAAGCATCGAAGATGAGATTGAAATTCATAAAATTCTTAATATCCTCTGTTTGTGTCCTTGATGTCCTTTAGTGTGACATCCAAGTTAACGTTAGCTGCAGCTGCATATGAAATTCCAATCTGCCTTGTCCAGTACCCGAATCACTGTTTATTGAACTGTCTTCCTCAGCTGGAGTGGATGGGAAATGACAGATGCAAATGTCTTTGGTGTCTTTTATATTCTCAAGATTCACACGTCCTTTCTATGAACAATCACTGCAGTACATGTCTATTTTTCTTGTACACATCTACTGAGCTCATGTGATTCTGTTCTTATTCACTTAATTCTTGGCACGTCTGTATTTTCCACATCTCTTAATTTTCAGTCGATCTCAATTCCAGGAAGTCCACTGTATTTAAGGGCAACCTTTGTTTGTGAAAGGCAATGTTATTCTGCTGATAATCCGTAGATGAACCAAATTTGTGTGGCTGTAATGATCTTTCGCTTTTGGAACTAACAGCTAGGGCTTCAACACTTTCAAAAATTGACTTTGCTATCCTTCTTGCTGCTGTTGAGGAATCTGAAGTTGGTTTGTTTGTTGTTGGAGGATCATCACTGGTGGCGAGGATTTCAATGTTAGCAAATATGGAAGGACGTGGTGATGGCGAATTTGTGGTCTGAGAAGAGGATTCTTTGACTGTTTGTTCACAGTGAGGTTGTGCTTTTCCTGTTGTTGTTGTGTCTTGTGTTTTGGGAGTTGATGTAATTTGTCTGAGTTTGCATTTGATTTCCTCTAAGCTTTCTTCAATCCTTTTCAGTGTTTGCCTGTTTTCCTCAACTGTCTGCATCATTCTGTGTTGTTTTGCAACAAAAGAATCTTCCAGATCTGAGAAATATTCTGATAAGTTTAATACAGGAAGAGTGGTGCTCAGGTATTTTGGATCTGGAGTAGAAACTGCCAAAAGCTGCTCTCGTGTTGTGTTTGAAGTACTTTTCACCTGTGTTGAGGATGATGTCCGGGATGTGCCATCTGGTGTGATTGATTCTGCGGTTGTTTTCTCTGGTGTTGTGGTTGTAAAGGAGGTGCTCACTGGTGTGATCGATTCTTCGGTTGTTCTGTCTGGGGGTGTTGTGGTTGTAAAGGAGGTGCTCTCTGGTGTGATCGATTCTGCAATTGTTTTCTTTGATGTTGTAGTTGTTGCAAAGGAGGTGCTCTCTGGTGTGATCGATTCTGCGGTTGTTCTCTCCGGTGTTGTTGTTGTATAGGAAGTGCTCTCTGGTGTGATTGATTTAGGAATTGTCTCTGATGTCGTGGTTGTTGTAAAGAAGGTGCCTTTTGATGTGACTGATCCTGGAGTTGTTCTCTCTGCTGGATTTGTTGTTGTACAGAAGGTGTCCTCTGGTGTGATTGTTTCTGGAGCTGTTCTCTCTTGTGAAGTTGTTGTTGTTGTACAGGAGGTGTCCTCTGGTGTGATTGTTTCTGGAGCTGTTCTCTCTGGTATAAGGAGCATGTTAATCTTATCTTGGATTTTTTGTGGAAAGTTACACCCTGGAGACATCATTGGTCCTTCTATAGTGTCATTTCTTCTGTTCATATATTGCACTTCCTTCAGAACTTGTGCCTTTTGCTTCCCTTTACCAATGTCTGTCTTGTCTTTCAGGTTTTCCTTTTGGGGTAATTTGTTGCCCTGATAAAGAAACTTTGAAATAAGAGTCTTTTTCAACAATTAAAATAATCTTACATTTTAAAGACATATTCAAAGGAATAGAAAGAGTTCAAAATCAGAACTAATTAAGGGAAAGGTAATTAAATTTCTGTAATCAACCACTTTTTCTCACTTTGTAAGAGATAATGGATTGAATTACGGGGCTCAACATTAATGCACGTCCGATTAATCACTTACACACTCCTAAAATTATCTCCCTAATACTTCTTTCGTTCTATATTTCAAACATTTAAATGAACTACTGTTACAATTTTCCAGTTTTACAGCCTATAGTCAACTTGCAATAAACTCATTGTTATCGCTAGTTTTTAAATAAACAGATATAAATTGCATCTGACCGTAATGTCCACCAAGACACACATAAACAGGGTTGGAAAAAAACTAGGAAATACTCATATTTCCCAGGACGGTGGGAAATACTGGTAATTACCGGGAATTACTGGTATTTCCTGGGAAATACTGGGAAATAAGAAATAGCTACATATTTCACTCATATTGACATGTAGTACACCTTATTGACTAAGATATCTACCTGGTATCACTGTCCCTGATTTATAAAAAATCTGGTTTCCAAGTAATTCATTTTACATAATCATAACACAGTATATTCATGTACCAGTCTTTAGTGGCATTTGTTTCACGCTTGAGTCAGATGTAATTTATAAAGGTCCATGAAATGAACCCAAAGATCCCATTTGGTTTTTTTTTTTTTTTTTTTTTTTTTTTTTTTTTTTTTTTTTTTTTTTTTTTTTTTTGTAACTAAAGAAGGATCTATGAAAATTCTTAAATGTAGAGTATGGTATAAATATCAAATCTAAGAAGAAGCCTTTCAGTTCTACTCAAGGTAATTATCTCTCAAAACAGGGGCACAAAACTGTCCAGAGCAATTTGTTAAAACAACATGATTTTTTGTAATAACTACAGTGTTTATAGAAGGATTAAAACAAGGTCTTTTTTGTTCTTAATAATTTTACAAAACTGAATAGAAACTTGAATTGGAAAACTTCAGTTTTATACAGCCAGGGAAATGTTTCAGAATGCTTATGGGTATTGGACCTGGAGTAGTGATACATTCTGAATAGTTAAATTGCAATTGAAACATATTCCATATTATTCATCTTCTGTTTTTAAGTTTATTTTTATTTTTGAATTTTGTATAAGATTGAATGAACTAAAGAATTAAAAAAAATTTAACTTTGTATTTCCCAGTTCAGAGAAAATTTGTAGTATTTCCCGGGACGGGAAATACCGGTATTTACCACTGGTAATTCCCACCACTGGTATTTCCCGGCCAACTCTGCACATGAAAGGCCAAAGCACATAAATATCTATTTAACCAACAAACATGATAAATACCTTTGGTTCCTTTGTCTTCTTCTTTGGGGGTGTGTATTCTGTGTCATCTGTCTCCTCGTCCATAGCT